GTGTGTGTGTGTGTGTGTGTGTGTTTTTGTGTGTGTGTGTGTGTGTGTGTGTGTGTGTGGAGGCCGTTAACCCCTAACCTTATTGTACCCATCTGATTCCATCAGCATTTGAACATTTTATATGCTTATCAACAGCTAAAAGTGTGCCACATCAATATAGCCACATGGGCTGGCTGCGTCAACACTATTTCAGCAACACATAGGATGTAAGACTGGGTGCAGAGGTGCAGATGCCAACAGGCAATGGAGAGAACCCCCGAGAAGAAAGAAAAAAGACAAGCACACATTCGAAAGCAATTACTTAGGGGCAAAATACTAAAGTAGCCTACATAGTGTTCTCACAAAGGAGGAAAGATCAGGAAACTTTATAGTACATGGTCTTAGAGAAGAACAAGTGCTCAACTGACAAGTGTGAATAAGTTATCCAATTAGGTAGAAAGTACTAGAAAGTACTAGAAACTTAGAAAGTTGAAACCTGAGTGCTGGATGAGATATCTGGACGGATGTCAGGGATATAAATTTCACAAGGTTATCGTGAATTTTCGAGAGAGCAAAACCCGAAGATATGCTGAATTCCACAGACAAAAAAAAAAAGGTTTATAAAGAAAATACATGAGCTAGATGATCTTCTGCATCTGGGTCGAGGAGTGTCCAAATACAGTTGAATGTCCACGCATTCTTTTCCTGAGACGTCAAGGACTCACCTCGAAAATCTGTCGGCGTTCTTCTTTTTTGTTTTTCTCTTTTGTAAGGAGTACTAAGGACGATGGACTTGAGATATTATCATCCAACTAACCGGGTACCCGGTAATTCATAGACATTGATTTCTTTCATATAGTCCCATTTGGATTCGTACTCGGAACTGTATTTCAACTGTCCATCAGTTCCGCAACTAAGCTAGGCCTGTTTGATCACCGCCGTTCTTTTTCTTCCGTTTGCCTACCAGCTCACAAAACTGACCCAGCCATTCAATTGACCAGACCTCAATCGTGTTCAAGTTAAACAAACTTTATAACTAGGCTACCAGCCGGGCCGCCCATGTCACCCTATTTTCCCAGGCGGCCCGGGCGTGCAAGGACTAGGAAAGGTCCCAGCCAAAAAAAAAAAAAAAAAAACGAAAACACTATGTTATGCAAAAAAATAAACTCAACAACTTATGCCTCAGGGTCACATCGAAATTCTTTACCAAAATTAAAATAAAAATTTTAATTGAAATGTATTTTTATTTCTTTATTTTTTTAATATATTTTTGGCCAGGCCGGGCAAGTGGACCCGGGCCACTCTGGTAGCCTAGCTTTATAATGATTATTAATAAAATAAAGCAATACCACACAAAACCTGTGCATAAAAAGACATTCCCACGCAAGCAATGCATGCACACATGATGAGCCACCTCGCTTACCCATTCCTTCTTGAGCGCGAGCTCCTCTCTAAGTTCCTTATTGGCTATCTGCAGGCGTTGATTTTCCTCCTCCAACTTCTTGACGGACTCTTTACTTTCTTGCAGCAAAGCTTTCACTTGCTCGAGATTCGTCGTTGCTTGCCGGTTCGCCTGATTTAAAGACCAGATTTCCTCCTGCAGCTGCTGGGTGTGGACTGCCCAGAATACAAAGACACCACCACCATCATGAAAATAGTAAAATACCAATCGCCCGTGCCAATCATCGTAAGCAAAGGGGAACTTTCAAGGGTTTGTTTTTGTTATTTCGACTGCTCTCTGGCACCTAATTGCTGCCAGATAAATGCAGGTGTGGTCGTACTTGCAGTCAGATGCATCCAGGAAAGTCTTAAGTTTGAAAAAGCTCTGAGGGAGGAGGGCGAAAGAAAGGATATTTGCATTCTTATCCTTTTTCAACTTTGCAGAATGCCACAAAGAGAGAGAGAGAGAGAGAGAGAACAATATCCCTCTCAAATACAATGGACTGACTGTGCTTATGACCGAGAGAGAGAGAGAGAGAGAGAACAATATCCCTCTCAATGGATTCTGTTTGCGCAGAAGTTAAACAAATACAATGGACTAACTGTGCTTATGACCGTCTGGCGTGCAAGATGTGCATTCAAAAAAAAAAAAAAAAAAAAAAAAAA